TTTGCTCTAAGGTCTTTTAAAAGTAGGGTCCAATTCGGCTTTACATCACTTGTGCAGTGTGAAAATCCCTAGCCCTGTCTTGCTTTGCTGTGAGGAAGGCAGTCTTGGAGGACTGCCTTGACTAAAGGAGCTGTTGCATTCCAAAGCACTCTGTCTGATGTTGAGAATAAATCTGGGGAGGAAGGGATGGGTAAATCCTTATTTCCTTGCTATGGGCAAGGACCTGTTGCGGAGCTCTTCAGTGACCACTGTGCTGGCTCTCAGATGGGATCGTGTTCCTGTTGCAGGAGAGAGCAAGAGGTACCTCTTCAATAATTGCTGCATGTGTGGGTTTGCCCACTCAAGGGAGGGTGAGAGGTGTGTCCCTGAGGTGCAGCTCATGAGAGAATCTGCAGTACTTTCCTCTGTGTCAGTCCTACAAAGAGAGCTGCTTGTGGTGTGGTTCATCGTGATTGCACTGATTCTGTGCACTGGGTTTATGTGGGTACGCAGCCTTGGTTTTGTTCCAAGTAATGAATGGCAGTGAAACTTCACAACATAAGATTGATAACAAGCTGCTGACCAAAAGAGGTTATTCTTGTGAAATCTTTACAGTTATAGTACAAATACTGTTAAAGTATTGAATTACTGCTTCAAAATTCAAAACCTACTGCTTTTTTTTTTAGTTGTTGTTTTTACAGTATATGTCATTTTGAGATTTTTGGACTGCACCTCGACTCTGCAATACAGTGTATTATGATGTGGAGTGGAATGCTGCTCATAAGCTGAACCACTAAACTGTTTTGGGTAGAAACTGCGGAGAAGATAATGTTAATTACTGCAGTTAAAATCACAGTCATTATTGGCCTAAATGATCCAGATGCTGTTATCCTGAAGTCCAGGGAAATGTTATTTTCCCACTGCTAAGAAACATGATGGAATCAGTCAACAGTGTGTATTCCAGCAATAAATATTTACATATAGGCTAGTACAGCAAAGATTTCAAAATTTTATTTCCCAGCAACTGACAGTGTCTCAGCATGACTTGAAGGCTTGCCAAGTCATGAGCCCTTCTCAAAAAAAAACAAGCAAGAACCTTTGGACACCACTGCTTTGAGGGAGCAGATGTTCTTAGTCCAAGGCTGATGTACTCAGAAGAGGTGCCAGTTGACAAAAATAGTTAGATTTTGGGGGCCAGATGGAAAAGAATGCTGTCTGATTCGAGTTGGGTTTATTTTGTGTGTGTATGCTTTTTGTGGAGGATTCAAGTTGAGTACTTGGAGTTGGGAATGATCTTCTGCTATTCTGTGTGTGAGTACTGAAAACATGTTTTGCCCTTTCTGTTTGGCTAGATGTCCTTAAGAGATGAACTACTCAAATGTAAGTGGACCACCTGTGTGCTCCCACACCATTCAAAGCATCTAGAAAGTTGTTTGGAGTAGTCAACACCACATGCTCATAAATAAGTGAAGTGTCTTGTTATTCTGGGCAGTGCTAAGAAGTATTTTTAGCAGGTTTTTTTTTTGTCGTTTTTTAAATTACTGAAATGTGATATCAGAAAGATCTTTCGTTGTTTTTGTCTCTTCAGAGTGATGACTTGAAGAACACAGGCAGTTGAGATAATGTAAAATAATGTTTTATGAATTTTGTGAGTATATCCAGCAGGCATATAGTCCATAAGATTTAGATGTATTCCAGCAAACATCTAGATCGGTCAACTAAGGAGGCATTATGTATTATATTTTTTTAACAACTTACCACTAGTGTCTAATTGGCAAACAGTTACTCAGTTCTTAGCTTTGTAAAATGCATTGCCTTGCTTTTCAGCGCCAGTAATATTTCATTGTCTTCTTACATAGTCATTTATTGAAACCAAAGTTGAGGGCTTTATTTTTAATTTTAGCCTTAAACATGAGTTTGAAAATGTGCTAGATTTAAGTAACAGACTTGCTTTGAAGAATTGTGCTAGAGAAATCACTGGTGGCTTCCAAAATGTTTTCAGTTAAGATTGCTTAATTTTTAAGTAGTTGTCTGTATTCTCATTCCATCTCCATTCCCTTTTAGTTGCTTTTCTGAAGTTTTATTTTTATAGTTTGATTTTAAAAGACAAAATTTGCCTTGCTCAGTAAATGGAATGATTAGGCTTTATAAAGCCATATACTTTCTGTTTCTAATGTCAAACAGTTGTGGGTGGTTTGTTGTTGTTTGGCTTTTGGGAGGGGAGAGGAGTAGGGAAGGCACAGGGAGGTGGGTAGAGATGGAATTTCTGGTTCTGAGAAGAAAATTGAACAAGGATCCAATCCAACTTTATTTAGGACTGTTTCTTTTCTTTCTTTTTCTTTGTTCTTTTTTCTTTTTTTTTTTTTTTTTTTTTTTTTTTTTTGACTGCATCACAAGGATACTGAAGTGGACATATTAAAAAAAGGGTTAACGCTATAGTGGAAGAAGCAAAGGAAAAATGTGTGATACGAAGTATAATGTTAGTAACTGCTGTTGCCGCTTTATATGACCTGGCACGTGTGACTAAGAGAGAATTTGACTGGAATAGTTTTGTGCTGGTGACTATTAATTCAGGCAGTCACAAGAATAACTGTAATACAGAACAATATGTGACAATCCTAAGGTATTCTGTAACTACTGATGACTACTTTGAAGTTATGTGGTCTAGTTTTGGCAACCCAGACAAAATTAATTTTTCATTCATAGATCTGAAAAGATTAATCGTGTGTTGTGCTGATGGGACGGAATTACTTGGTTAACAAATTGGTGGGAAATCTTAATCCAGCTTTTTCTTTCCCTACCTCCCAGTAGAGTACCATTTTCATAGCTTCCTTGAACAAGCATAAGTTTGGATTTATTGGAAATGACAGATGTGAAAAGTTTTATTCCAACAAAATTTTCACTGAGCGTGCTCCAACAAGCAGTTGCATGAGGCACCTTTTTTAGGCACAGTGTTTGAGAGAGTTTCAAGATGTTTTGATATTTTTTAGTGTTTGTGGGATGTGGTCACGAGCGAGCATAGGGGAAGAAATAGTAGTCATAGTCATGTATCGTTGAGCCATTTTAGGGTAAAATTTGGTAGTATTTGACATTTTACTTTTCCACAAGAGGCACTGTTACTCCTGTCAGTCTGGCCTTTTCATTAAAATGGTGATACTAAATACTATCCTGCTAGTTACATAGCTGACAGTAAGCCATCTAATTGCTGCATTCCAGATATGTGTGTTTATTTATTTTGCTTTGTTTGAGAATGACTGGTACAATTCAATTAGATGTTGGATGCTTCTTTGGGTTTGTTTTTTTTTTTCAGTCATTGACATTAGATGTTTAATGTGTAAAATTGTTGTGTGTGTTTGTTGTGTGAAGTTATTAATAACAAATTATACTGTTGAAGTTCTCCAGATTGTTAAGCAAAGGAAGTCTTATTGATAGAAGCAGATAATTGGGCATTATAGGAATTTTTTTTTTTTTTTTTTGGCTTTTTTTTTGTAACAGTCTTAAAATAATCTTGAACTAGTTGATTTTGTCTTTTTAAACCTAATTTTAAATTACATATTAAATGAAGGAAGATGTGTTTCAGCCTTTTCAGGTTCATTTTGTCCATGAGCACATTAGTTCAGTTCAATCCTTAGACTGAATGGGGAAAAGCATACTCTTTCAATTTACAGAAGAAGCTGTCAGGAATTCATGATGTCAGCACATCATAATTTTGGGGTTTAGGCAGTAACTTCTCAATATTCAGTTTAGCTTTAAACAGAAATGCATTCTACTTGAATATCGTGGACCTAATTTTAGTATCTCATGCTGTGTTTTGGTCTTAATATAATTAATTATAGTCATAAGTTTAAAATCCCTAGAGCAGTCAAATACAAATGTGCAGTACTCGCACAGATATCATTAAAAACTGTATTTTAACTTTTAAACCAAATTTAGCCGTATTTTCACTTTCTTCTCCTGCTTCGTTCTGAAAAATTAAAGGCACCGTAGTCCAAGGTTGCTCCCTGATAATAAAAATAGAAGTCTTTTTTTCCTAGAGGGTGGTGAAGCCCAGGTACAGAGTATCCAGGGAAGCTGTGGCTGTCCCATCCCTGGAGGAATTCAAGACTGGGTTGGATGGGGCTCTGGGCAGCCTGAGCTGGTGGGTGGGAGCCCTGCCCACAGAAGGGGATTATAAATGGATGGCTGTAAGGTCCCCAGCCCAAGCCATTCTGTGATTCTGTAATTTTTCTAGTGATGAGAAAAACACTGGAAGAGGAGATGATGGCTCATGGCAGCTGATGCTGGGTTGCCTCCATCTGTAGGCTAAAATTCTAACTTTCCCTTATGTGGATTTCTGACACAAACGCTCATAATGCTTTTTATATTCTGAGTATAAAAATATTCCCTATTTATCATCCCAGTTAGTGATTTACTTCTAAACCATGTTGTTGTTGGCTCTTATTCAGCTTGCCTGTTGTCTTCAGATCACTTTGTAATGAGGCAAACTGCCTGGCTTTTGTGAATATCAGTGGCAAACCTGTAATCTATTACTTCTGAAACTTTGTTCTTGGAAGAAGTTACTGTTTAACCAGGATTGTATTCCCATATTCTGTACTTCCAAGGCTATTTTTCTCTTTGCTGAAGTTACAGGTGGGAGTTAACAAGTGAAAGGAATGGTGTTATCTGCAGTTATCAAGCAGATCTACAGCTATTCAGCTATCTCATTTTCAGTGCTCAATTGCAGTGGTATATGAACAAAATGTTTCTCTTAATGTTCTAAACGAGCTTTTCATCTCATACTAGTTTCAGGGCTATGAAGTCATCAGTCATTATAAAGCATTTTTTAAGTCGTTCAGGCTGGACTAAAGTCTGTTTAAAAAAAGTGTGTATAAATCCTATTGTTTTAAATGGAGTAAATCTGAGTAAAGCATAAAACAGCATGACATTTCTGAAACAACAAGCCACTTAGTAAATTCCCTGGTATCTAGAAAATAATCTACCTTTACTGTTTTTGAGGCTAATTATAGAAATATTTTATGCAGGTTCCGACTGGAACATCTCGTCAGAGTTACCCAGCTACCACATATCAGGACTTCAGCAACTGGGAATCTCTAATGAAAATTAAAGAGGGGCTGCTAAGACAGAAAGAGATTGTGATCGATCGGTGAGTAAGCTGCTCTTGCTGCGTTTGTTAGAGCAGATGACATAAAAGCTGTGATGTAGAAACTGGAAAAGTAGAACTGTTAGCTTTCAATCCAGCACATACTTACAGACAAAATATGTGGGACTCAGACCTTGCCAGGAGAGAAGACAGGCTGCTTACTAAAAGTCTTCTACAAATTTGGGAATTTACTCAGGGGTTTGAGGCTTTTGCAATGGAAAAGGGAGAGCAGGACCAATAGCTAGTTCTGCTGTCAGCTTGCCCAGTCTAGTTTCATTTAAGTATTCATGTTCATATTGGATATATTTCTGCTTGTATGTAGGGTCTTGGGATTGATGCAAGCTGAGAGCTGGTAATCTGCTTTGTACTGATTTTATTTGTTGTGAGAAAAGAAAGAAATGCAGTATATCTGAAGCCTGCTGACAATTAAAGCTTTGAGAAATTGGTCTTTGAAGAAACGTTTATTGGCAAAATCCGATTTAATTGCTCAAACAAATTGTTCAAATAATAAAATATTAAAATCATTATCTACTTATCAAGAGATACATAGTTTCAAGTTGCAATTGTTATCAATAGATAACATAAAATAGAAACATAAAATAGAACATGGCAGCAAGTTGCTACTGTAAGTTTCTAGTACAGATGATACAATTTCTGGAGTTCTAAATGTTTAGATGGTATTAAGCCTCAATGAGGAAAATGTGCTTCTAATAAAGGGCCTGAGCTTAATGAAGCTTGCACTAAATTATCAAATGTCATCAGGAGCTGCAGAGTTTGGATGTAGGACATTTAAGAAGGGTATTTTTATATTTGACATAATTATCATTTGGCTTAGTCTGTGTTTTAATAATAAACTCTTGACTCATGACTGAAAGGAGTGGTTGTTCTTATCTTGAAATAGTTTTGGCCTCTTATTGATATTTTGCTTCTCAGCCTGGAGAGAACTGTGTAAAGCAGGTGTGTGCTAATAACAGGAATGTCAGGCATCTGTGATAAATGTTATTTTATTTCATCTGGTAGTTCTTCTCCCTTAATTGGATGGAGATGGACAACTTTGGCAGCAGAATTATACTTGTGCACTATCTATTCCTTCCCCTCTTGAAACAGAGAAGGGAATTGTGATGAATTAAGATGTTTTTGACCCCTAGCAATCTGACCATCACTTCTGCTGGCCAGCATCATTTTTCCTAGATCAGCTTAGACACCTGATAGCATGCATTTTCCTGCCCCTGCAGTGGAACATGGTCCCCAAAGTAGGAAGTGGCTGGTGCATGCAGTCAACATCCTGCTTTAATGCAGACCTTCCAAGGGGACAGGCAGTTGAGGTGGAAGAATCTGTTGCTGTTGCATAGATCTCCTCTATCAGAGGATAAAGGATATCCTTTATCAGAGTCTTTTGATCAGCTGTTTGGGAGCTGTCTAAAGTAAAGCAGCTTTTCCAGGCCTGTTATATCAATAGTAGTGCTGTATAACCTGCAGCCCTCTTTTCAATGCCCAAGCTATCACTGACATTTGTAAACACATAATGCATGATGGCCAGGGGCTGTCTTTTGTTGCCTCTACTGAGCACCTACGCTCTACAGGAAGGCTTGTTACACAACGGCAGGTAAGCCTTCAGTTCACATTACTCTTCTCACAGTGAAAATGGGTTTACAGTCAAGGGGAAGTTTCATTTTACTGAAGTGACAGTTTGCAACTAGTTACCTGGTATCATCCATCCTGAGGGAGAAAAGCAATTTCTTGACATCCCATGGCAATGTGTATGATCTTTTTTTGTGGAAAGCATGCTTTTGTATGAATTTGAGATAGTGAATACAGCTCTTTCTGGATTGATGAGAGAAGTCAGTTGAGGTGATCCCTTCTCATTCATCTGAAAAGACAAAATACACTCTGAAAGCTACTGACATGAACAAAGACCACTTTGTGATCTTACAGTCATTTGCTTTAAATAGACACTTGGTGTTGCAGTTAAATACAGCATGAATTGCAATATAATCATAAAGCACAGAAGGGGCAGTTTCTAAACATTACGCCTCCATTTGGGCAAAAAAATTGCCTCAAGATTTATGATTTGAAAACAAAGTTACTTCAAATAGTTGAGTTGTATTATTTAAAATCAGTACAAAATGTTGCGTATTTATAAAATCTTTTGCATCTTCTTATATTGTTTTCTTTTTTTTTTATTTTTTCACCGATGGTTTCTTTCATGGAGGAACTAGTACATAGTTGCAGTCCAAAATTCTAGAAACAGAACATCATTATAAAGTGCTAGTGTTCTATTTATTATTAGATGGAGCATTCATAATTCTTATTTATAAGTAAAGTATAAATCCATATTTTAAAAGACATTACGCTGAGATCCAATATAATGTCTGGGACTAAACCTAGGATTTTTGACCCCTGTTCTCCTTGGTCTTATCTGAAACTTTTTTTTTTTCCTAAGTTAATGAAAATTCTGAATACTGGCCTAGAATACGTAAAATAAATGTACTAAGTTTTACTAAGTTTTGTTAATTAGAATTCAAGATAATGGGATTTAAATTGTAGAAGTTATGCCTTTAGGTTGTGGAGGAGGAATTCTTTTGTTGATGGGAGGACTTGATACTAGGTTGAAAAAGTTTTTCATGCCTTTGGTTCTTGCAGAGCTTTAGAAAGCGTGGTTGTCTTAAAACAAACAAAGAGCAATAACAAAAAAAAAAAAAAAAAAAACCAAAAAACAAAAAAAAAGAACCATGGCTAATGTTGAATTTATAACCTGGTAAAAGAAGGATATCAGCAAGACTTGTTTAATTAATGGGGAACTGGGGAGGGTCAGGTTGTCCCTGTGACATTTGGAAATTGGAAGAGTGGTGTAGCAGTTGGCCAGAGGATGCTGGAGGTGGGGCTCTGAACTGGTGCTCTGGGCATAGGTGTTTGCAGTTGAGAGGTACAAGAAGCAGCAGAATGAAAAGAAACACCCCTAGAACACCCTTATCTTGCTCTTGTCACTAGCTGCCATTTCACTGGTTGCTGTCCAGTTTATTCGAGGTTAACATATGCTCTTCTGCTGTGAATTGCAGCAGGAGGTAGAGGAGTTGAACGCCACAACTTAAGTGCTTAAATCTGTTGATGAGCTGGAAGTAAAGGCTGCATACATAGTGGTGTTCTTGAGGTGCTCTACTTTGTTGTTGTAAATGCAGCAGAGAGGAAACAGAAACCTGCTGCCTGCTTCCCTTCTTATCCCACGGTAATTAAAGGGCAACAAAAATCCAACCCATCCGGATAAGAGTATTCAACTTCCTTGTTTTGCAACAGAAATCTAACAGTTTGGAAAAGCTGCAAACAAGATCTTGTTTGAAATAACTCAAGAATTAACACTTGCTGTGTGAATCACCACACTTGGATAGCTTGTGTGTCACTGGAATTCAAAGACATTAGTAGAATGTTAGGAAAAAAACAGCATTTGTAACTGGAATGAATGGCTTGATCTGTATTCTGTACACTGTTGAACATCAGATTTACTGGTAGATGAGTTAAAATTATTTGGATTTGTACATCTGAACAAATACAAATGAACACAGTAGCATAAATGTGTAGGTATAAAAGTGGTTTAATTTTGCTTTTAAAGCTGCTGTAGGTATCACTGCAAATTTAACAAATCAAAGCTTGAAATCCATTTTTAAGTCTACTCTTAAAGAGTTGGGGAGAAACCACTTTTATAAAGGGAAAGTGTGGCATGAGGGAGGGAGCCTGGCATGTGTGTACAGAGGTACACAGTGACTCTTACTAAAGGTGTGTATCATGCTTTTTCCACTTTAAATCTGTTGGTGCGGAGTATGAATAAGGGCAAAGGGTCTTAACAGTTTTGTTTGTAAGAGGAAATCTGCTGTTGTAACACTCGTTACTGGAATTGGATTATGTCATTGCCTCTCTTCTGCAGCTTAATGTGTAACACTATGTTGTATTTGGCACCAGAGGGAGCCAACAGTATATGCATTAGTTCAGAAAATTACAGCATCACATTGTAATTCTCAGCGCTGTTCCCGTGTTGTGTATTCTGTTCAGTTCATTAACAAAATGAAATTACAGCATTTTGGTATAACTATGAACTTCTCCTGTGACTGGCAAGCCACTGTGGATGTCTCTACTGTGGTATTGGCCCTGTTTGGCAGGGATTGCACGTAGTTAGGTATGTGAATAAATGCCAAATATCTGAATATATGACATAAACTGCTGAAAATAGCACTTTGCATGCAATGTTCTCGTCCGGGCAGCTTAAGGGCATTTGAACTGCTTTTTATGGAAATAAAGGTATAAAAGTATCATTTTAGTGAATAGCTGTAGTTCCTCGGAGCATAGTAACATTCACAGTCTGTAATCAGTTGCTAAATTATTAGCTTTCTATCCAGAGTTGAATTACACTTTACTGTTTTCATTAGGACATTTGTATTAGATTTTCTTTGCCTCCTGTCAAATGGACTTTACTTGTTGACGTCAGACTGGGCGGGCTGATAGCGTTCATGTTACTGCTAGTGCAGGGCTGTGATTTCTTAATTTTTGGATGCTCTGTAAGCATCTGCAGCACTAGCAGATACAATTGAAGGACCCATTAGTGCCATTTTTTATGAACTAGCACTGAAGCTTTAAGTCACCCTGGATCTGAACAAACTTGTACAGTGGGAGTCTTGTGCAGGGATTAGGCTACGGGGAGCCTTCTTGAGTGTCTCGCTGTGTAAAATATTAATTGCTTGCAATAGTATCTTCAAAAACATGAATTTATCTTCTTTTGATGTCACTGATCTCCTTGGTACTTGGTGGTTGAGGTATCTTGGGCCAGTAAACTTTAAGTAAGAATTTTAGAGCTTTTAAAAGTTCACCTTTTCAGGAGAGAATATGAGTAATATTGCTGAAATGGAATAGTAACAATCCTTCATTAGATAACAGCCTGAATTGTGGCACCAATGAGAAGTAGGAAGGACCTGACTAGGTTGTTCCAGGCCACAGGGATACACTGTAGCATGACC